CGGAGGACGTGGCTGCTGAGACTGGCTCGGGCCTGGTCAGCTGGACTGACCACTGAAAGCACCCCATGCAGGAGGTGCACTAGATAGTGGCAGTGCATAATCGGCGACCTAAGACCTGGGAGTAGCCGGAATACCACTAGAAGTTGGAAGTATTGAATAAACAAGACAGCTCGCATAACCTCTACCATGACGGGCTGCAACTGGGCACGGACACCACTATATGTGCCAGAATCTCGAGGCCTTTTGACCTCTCTCTCCTCTCTCTCCCATCCCCACATACCCTCCAATCTCTGAGCGATCTCCACCACCTGCTGGTATAGGGTATCAGTCTCCAACTCTCGAACCATGCTAAATCTAATACTGTGGTTGAGCCCCTCAATACTCGCTCTCTGACTTTAGAGACTAAAGGTGGTGCATGTCTGGACAACTCTCTGAATCTGACGACATACTCCGACACGGTCATAGTACCCTGGCGCAACTGCTCAAACTCTGCGCGCCATGCATCCCGAAGACTCTGGGAACAAACTCTCTCATGAACATCTCTGAGAACTGAGCACATGTGAGTGAAGCTGCCTTGGCCGGGCTACCCAACTCGTACGCTCGCCACCACTGATAAGCCGCTCCCTTAAGCTGGAACATAGTGAAAGCAACCCCACTCGACTCCACAATACCCATAGTATGGAGGATACGGTGGCACTCCTCAAGAAAACCATGTGCGTCCTCTGTAGCTAGCCCGCTGAATGTAAGAGGATGGTACTTCTTGTACCTCTCGAGCCTGATTTGCTCCTCCTTAGATGTTGTTGCCCTAACCTCAGGCTGAACTGGGACAACCGGATGCACTGGTATGACCTCTGGGACCTGGTCAACCTGGACCTACTGCTTTGGGGTACGGGCTGCGTGAGTCTGTGATCTTCCCCCATCTTGGGATGTGGCCGGTGTAAGTGGGATCAACCCTGCCTGAGCTAGAGTACCAAACATGCTCAAGAACTGGGCAAGGGTCTCTTGAAGTGCAGGGGTAGTAACAGGCGTCTCAGGTGTCTA